GATTCATGTGTGAAGGGACGGATTTTAAGTTACAATCTGAAAATGGGGAAACCGAATGCTTTCTGAGTCAGATGAGTAGAATCAGTTTATGTCTTACAGTTCTGCTTTAGGAAAGACGAGTAATAAGTAACACCTTTCCCCTACTCTGACTCTCAAAAGAGCCAGACGTCCTTCTTTCCTCACATTTCACAGAGCCTTGATCTGGAAAGTAAGTCCATGTATCCTACAAATAAAGTCCACTAAGTTTCGTTGCTTCATCCAAGACAAAAAGAAACATTTACATTATTTCTATGTAGAATTGCACAGTACAGTTGCTCACTGCTTTTATTCATTTGGAAATGTTGCTCAACCTGACAAACAAAACAGAAGTCTGGCACACTCTACAATGCCTTGTAAACACCAATTTATGTATAAACAGCAGCAGCCGAATGTAAACAGACAATCAGCACAGCAAGGAGATTGAAGAGATCAGTTTGCAAAACGTGACAGGGTTTGTTCTTCTGGCATTCTTCTCGCTCCTGGTTATCAAAGGCCAGCACACACCAGTACCTAATGCAGACCTGTTTGAACATGTTCTGCTGCCTTTTGTACAAATTTAAAAGAATGGATCCTTATGCAAGCATTCCAAATCAAAAAACAAATTTGAAAAAGATTGCTACAATACACTGACTGATTTCTTGCCAGGACAGCTACTGAGAAGCTTCTTGATCCATTCTTGCACTGATAAAATGAGAGGAGGAAATATGTAATTAAAAATTAAAACCAGTCCATTCCCTGCATGCTCAGTTTCCTCAAGGGAGAGAAGAGTACCTTTGCTCTGCTTTTACTGCTTAGTGTCAGGGAGGTACTCCGGAGCCGAGTATTAATATTTGTTCTCAGCACAGACATACCAGCACTTAATCATAATTTAACATGTTAAAAGGAGGAGGAAAAAGGACAGTATTATGTTTCAATAACAAATAAATTACATAACTATAAAGTTACTTTTCCCGTAACAAAAGAATGAACTGTAGCCAGCAGGTGAGCAAGAGAACACTACAGGGTGTGGTAGAGACTATTCAATTAACTACGGAGACAAAAACTCTGTGTGTGTGTGTGTGTGTGTGTATGAAATATCCAGCTATTTCAAACCATAGGAGCATGACAGCTGTGAAAAAGGAGTGCCGCAGGGAATTCTTTTAGAGTTTCATTTTTTTTTAAATATGTTTGACATGGAAAATGTTTTAGTACAAATAAAGCAACTGGTATTGAACTTAAAAAGTGTATGCGGAGGGGGAAGGAGAAAGAAGAGATTGCTGTATGGAACAGGAATGAATAATTCATGATATTTAAAGAAAGAATGCCTCCAAAATGTTCTGCAAGGCAGTCCATGCTGATAAGTCGGATGGTTATTCCCCTCCTCCCCTCCCATTTAAAGCATCATTAATTCAACATCTTTGTGATTTTTTTAAAACCATGTAAGATATTTCTGAAAGAAACATTATTTAACTTAGATTTGGATCTTATTTATTCAGATAATTTCATATAAATATCAAAGAGATGAGTAGAATTATTTAACCTTAAAGAGACAGCTTTAGTACTTTAAGAAAAGGATCTAGGGTGGGGTTTTTTTTTTAGTTTTTAATTTTTTATTTTTTATATTCTGTTAAGAAAAACCCTCAACATCATTGCAAACTAAAATCAACCTCATGGAATATTTTGAACATTACTCCATGGGAGACCAGTACAATATAGTATTAGTGAATGTATTGTAGCAGAGCTCCATATACAATCAGAATCCAGCTGTTACTGGACTGTGTACAGGCACATACTGTGTTCAATGGCCTGAGGAAGTATTACGGATATGATGCGAAGAGACCTTCTGGATTAGACATGTACTATTTATTAAAAAAGTGAAACAACAAAACATTTAAACTCAGCTAAAACAGTAGCACTTCAGGTGGTAAAAAAGGAGGGTTCTGAGGACTCCCGTGACTGTAAAGGCTTCAGCTATCATTATTTATTTGAGGGGGTTGGCAAAAAAAATCTAACTCTTGGAATGTCCTGATTATATTATTTTGGATTTCTGTATTTTCCCTCATTGCTACATTCTGCTTTTAGTGTGGAAAAGTTTATGTAAAACAGACTGATTACAAAAATGTACAGAGGAGCAACCAGTTAAAATGTCGCCTGCAGATAGTACGTAACACTAACTTTAAATAAGTAGCTTGAGCCAAAGTGATATGCCATTAAATAATAGTTACTGTGTAATCTATCTATCACTGTATTAATTTTTATATTATACAGATTACACTGCTTAAGTATTTCAGCCTTCCTTCACTCTTTACATTGGTTAATAGCCCCAGTGGCACTGTGTGGTGCAGATGTGTAGGAACATCCATAGATGCTATAAGATAGCATTCTTATTTTGGATCAATTGTATCTCCTACTTTCTGGAGTATTTGTAGTCCCCTCAATGCAGAGGGCACAGATTTTTCAGTTTCCAGTGAAGAGAATATAGGAATTTTAGTGCCTGAATCTTCATGTAACTGAACCTAACCTATCAATTTCAGTAGGGTCCCAGATCTAAGAGAAAGTTAAAATTATATTTCAAGCTATGTTTAAAAGTGATTTAATTTTGTTTTTCTCTATGGCTACCTAAAAGGAGGTGTCCCAAGACAGAGATCCTCAAAGTAAAATGAGAATCATCCTTGACCTGTGAGCCAAATAGGTAGCTTTCCCAGGAAAGAGCCACTTGATACTGAAAAGAAATCACCTTGCATTAAACAGCAATGAAGTTTCTTGGGTTGTAACAAATTTCTTCTGTTTTAAGAAACACGTAGTGACAACAATTTTTTTTTCTCTGGGAACCACTGGCATTTCCTGGGGTATCTTGTCTGTGTGTCTATGACCTTAAGCCCCATTTTGTGCCCAAGCTTATACACTGGATTTGAACATCTGCTTTTGAAAATGAAAATCACGAGTATCACATTTATGTTTTGCCAGTTTGCCTACCAGCTATCTGCTAACAAAAAAGTTCCAGGGAAGAATGGCAAGTCCATGCCCAGCGAAGCCTTTTGTTTTTGCAGATGTTTAGGCTTGGAGGAGTGCTGTGGAGCACAGACAATCCTAGGTCCATGTTTGCACTTGTCTGCTGCTATTCTCTGCTCATTGTCTGAACCTGCACGCATTGTTCTCCCGACAGGTGATAACTACCCTGTGCAGTTCATTCCATCAACAATGGCAGCTGCTGCTGCTTCTGGACTCAGCCCTTTACAGCTCCAGGTATGTGCCAGAACAAAAAAATGTGGGATTGAAGCCAGCATTTTAGGGGAAAACTGCTAACCAGCTGTATGCTAAATAATAGTCTGAATGTTAAATAATTTTTGAGCACAGCCCGGGAGGATTAACACCTTATGTACTTACAGGACTGCAAATGTAGCAATGTGTGGCCAACCTTGATACCGTGAGTGAAAGACATTGTTCTGTGTATTTTATATTGGCAGAGTTAATAGTATTTTTTTTTTAATTATATGTCCAGTTGATGGGAGATAAGTTCAAAGATCTTTTTGTACTTTATTTTCATTTAGTCCCTCCCTTGTAACTGCAGTGCACTACCTTTACTTGAAGCAGTGAGTGTATCAAAATAAGTATGTTACTGGGGTATTTTCTTTATTTCAGACAGTGTGGTGCTGACAATACAATAACTTACAAACTCTTTAGCTTTTGTCTTTAGGTAACCTCAACCTTTCTGTGCATTAAGCTGGTCAGATGCCAAGCATGGTCAGGAGCCTTGGTTTGGTCATTCATTTATTTTTGGCATATATAGAATGAAATGTTGTGAAAGAAAGATTTATGAACCGTATTATTAGCTAGCTTTTTGTGGCAAGAAGTTTTTAATTTCACAAGAAAAGACACAACAATGTTATAAATAATGAAGAAACAGTCAAAAGCTTTCAGAGTTAAAATGTGTGGAAACGAAGTGACAGTGAACATGAGAGGAAAGGCCATTAAAGATGCATGTAACTATTTGCAAGTAAACCTTTGAAACCTCTGTATGAGTTAGGTTAGAGTTGGGTTCAGATGCAAGGTAAGAATAAATTGCTCCTAGAGTAGCAAAGAACTGCCATGTTAATAGCCAAATATCTACTTATCCCTGTGCAATTATATAATTTTCCAGAGGGACCAAAGCAAATTAAAAATCCTTTCATATTTACCCAGTGCTGATATTCTTGTCACAGACTTAACTTAGGATAAGTGAGAATGGAACCAGAACTCAGTGCTCATTGATGGTCCAGAACTGGTGAAAAAGACTCTTGAGCTTAGGTCTGACCTAACCTACAATCAAAACTTGAAAAGAGAATACCCTGACACTGCAGGGAAAGATCTCCAAGAAATACTTTTGGGTTATGATAGTATTATATTAAGACTGTACTTTGGACAGGCTTCAAACCAAAGGGAGGTTTTTCAAAAGGAAAAATAACAGGTATCTTTGAAAATCTGTCTTTGAATACTTATTTAAGCAGAAGTCTCATTAGCTTTAGTTGAGAAAAGACTTTAGAAATCAGCTTTGCAAATAGAGAGACTATTTTTGCTACCTTTGAAATGCAGCACAACAAATAGTGAGCCTACACAAGACTGCAAGGCAGAAAAGGATAAAAACTGTTCAACTGCAAAAGAAGCAGGATCTAAACCACTGACGTTCTTTTCTTTTACAAGATCATCATGGTTTAAGTCCAGTCAGTAACTCAAAACCACGCAGCCGCTCATTCACTCCCCACTTTCTTCCCCCCACCACTCCTGGAGGGATGGGGAGGAGAATCGGAGGAATGTAACTCCCACGGGTTGAGATAACAGCACTCCAGTAACTAAGGTATAATACAAACCACTACTACCACCACCAATAATAATAATGATAAGGGAAATAACAAGGGGAGAGGACACAACCACTCACCACCCACCAACCGAAACCCAGCTCGACCCGAGCAGTGATCTGGGCCTTCCAGGTAACTCCCCCCAGTTTCTATACTGGGCATGAGGTGCTGTGGTATGGAATATCCCTTTGGCCAGTTTGGGCCAGGTGTCCTGTCTCTGCTTCCTCCCGGCTTCCTCTCCTCCCTGGCAGAGCACGAGACTGAGAAAGTCCTTGGTCAGAGTAAACATTACTTAGCAACAACTAAAACCATCGGTGTTATCAGCGTTGTTCCCAGGCTGAAAGTCACAAACACAGCCCTGCACCAGCTACTAAGAAGGAGAAAAATGACTGCTGTAGCTGAACCCAGGACACATTTGTAGCACAGATCTATTTGCACATCAGCCTTGATCAGAACCTAGAGCAATAGTACAACTTCATTAATCTATAGAAATTATAGACTGAGCTGTTTAAACGTGATGAGCACAAGTAGAGAGAAAAAACCAGCAAAGAAAGTGGTGCTAATAAGTTCAGAAACATTTGAGTGCTAGAGGGGCCTAAATTTCCCTTCAGATATATTTGTTGTAAAAGAGGGGGTTTTGTTTGTTTCCCCCCTTTCTATTTTATTTTAATTTCACTTTTATGGGATTTCAAAGCCTTTAATGTTTTATGGTCATGAGAGCTTAAGTAATAGACTACTTAACCTTCAGTTGATGCCTGCTTATCTGATTGTCAAATGGCTGAAGTAAATTTTACTTACTCGTGCTATTAATATTCTCTTCGTGTCAATTCCTTAAGTGTTCCCTGCCCTAAATGAGCACTTCTTTGGGTGTGTTTGTTGGACAGAATTTGTTGTTATACCTGATGCGTCATGAAGACTGTAGGGGTGTAACATTTCAGCTCATTTTTCCATCTTTGCTTCCCTTCCCCCTTCTTTCTCTGTTTTGCTTCCTTTCTTCCATGTGCCCCACCCTCTTATTTATTTACATGAATGCTGTGACCATGGTATCTGAGTATTTCCCACGTGCTTAAAAATACTGATCACAAAACTAATCTCTGCTCCTTTCAGCCAGTGGGAGAAATAGCTAATTAATTTGCAGGTTTGGTTTTGTTTCTACATGTAAGCGTGCATGTAATACTTCTGTTTGGAAAACTTGGGAAGGGAAAGCCATTTAAAGTAAAACATTTTTGCAGTAGATCTAAAATCTCAACCTTACCAGAGCATTATTATTATTAGTTCCAAAATTTTATTCCGTAATCCATACCCAGATGCAGTGGAAATTCTGTCAGCTTCAATCTTATAAACTCTCCTCTTTTTTTCACTTACGATCTTTTAGGATGATACTACTTCAGGTAGGAGCTAGCAACAATGCTGTGTTCTTATCTTTCTGTGTGTTAAGGCAACTTCTATGAAAGTTCTGAATTTAACAGCGCAAAACCCCTTTACTCCCAGGTACATCATGTAACAGTGGCAATTGTTCCACAGAAGATGTTTCTCCAGTGGCTAATTTGTAATTAATAATTTTCCTATCTTATTCAAGCTATTTAGCACATTGATATCAAAACGTATTTTCTTTGAATTGTATGGCTGTGTTCACCAGTAGGTTATGTTAAAAAGCTATTGAAATTATATCTCGGAATTTCTCAAGTAACTAGTTTCACTCTCATGGACCTAGTATTAAAAAAAGAAAAAAAGTTAAATGAAAGTATTAAGTTCTCCTTTAGCAACACACCTGTTTGACCCATCCACTCTTAAGATTTTGTATCACATTGATACAAACAGTTGTGAGTGAATCCCATCAAAGCAACCTTCTGCTAAGTAGTTTACAAATATATTACCAAATACACCTGTAACAAGTATGCATAGTGGTGTGTGAACCAGTTCTGATGCATGTGTGTAACAGAAGCGTGTTGCTTTAATTTATCAGTGTGAGCACTAAAACACATCAATAATTTTCCCTTTGCTCTTCTTTTTATATCCATTTTCTCTGGAGTTTCTCCCCTTTCCCATTTCCCTGAAATTCTTCCCTAGCTGTCAGATGATTGCACTGATATTAACTGATTCTAGATAATGTGTGCCCAGTAATCTTCCTAAATGAGTGAACTTGATCATGAAATGCGTTTTCCCAGCTCTCACAGTGCTGGTAGCAGTAACCTAATTACTGGGAAGTCTCCATGGTGGCAGAGGTGGCACCTATATGTCCTTACATTCAAACAAGGAATGTTAATGTATGGTCTTTGTTTTTTAAAAAAGGAAAAAATTTGCCTTTTCTTAGATATTTCTACAAAGTATTCTATGAGGTAAATAAGGAAATGTTGCAACTCTCTCAACCGCGACTGATAAACTGTTGATAGAAATAGAAGCACAACAATGATGCTAGCTGGAGTTATTCCTAAACAAAGTGAGCTCTAGGAAAAAAAGCAAAACAAAAAGCTTTCGTTCATAACTCTTTCCCCAAACTATTTGTGTAATTTGTCTTTCAAAATTTATAGCTTATAACACTAATGAACCTTGGCATGTCTTAACTATAGTTGCAGCTGTGTTCTTGAAGCCTGAAGTTTTTATAATCCATTTTTAAAAAAATTAAATTTTAACTAAACACGTATTTGTCTATTTCTTTTCTTCCCTTCCATCTAATCCTACTCCTCCCTACTCTCTTCTAATTGCAGAAAAAGTAAATGACCTTTTTTTATACTGCTGGGTGCAGATCCAGTGTGCTGCTGAAGCATTGCATAGCCTGCCTCAGGGGCACAATATTAGTAGAGGGAAGGCCGAAGAATGCTATTTTTAGTTGAACAGTTCAGCAGATGGAGGCATGAATACTCATATAGCTGAAGGTTGAGGGGTTTGAACCATTAATTTTGATAATGTATTTAACCCTGGGAACAATCAGAAACTGTAACTCTAAGGTTACAATGCTTTTGACCTTTAGAGAACAGAGGGCACTCAGTACAGTAAACAGTATATTACATTTCTACTTATTCCAATTCTCTCACACATATAAATTTCAGGACATAGTTGACATTTGCTTTCCTCAGCTATTTTAGTGCTGTTCCTTAAAGTAAGTCAAGAAGAATGTGCAGGAAAGAGGCCAATGTGATGTGACAGTCATGTAAATATGGCCTTTAAATAGCTAAGATGTTAAATGTGTCTTTTTATGAAGAAATATTATTCTTGGGAGCTAGAATCTTGGTAACTTATTATTTCAATGAAAAAGATGTTTTAGTGGACTGCTGCTCTTACAGAGTTTCCTCTATATGTTGTAATCTTCAAGCAATTTTTTAGTGGGGCTAATGTGATCTGATAGTGATAGCTCACACTGGAGGTGATTTGGTCCCACTCTGGTACCACATCATGCAAAGTGATGTACCT